GCAACAGCAGCAGCAACAGCAGCAGCAACAACAGCAGCAGCAGCAGCAGCAGCAGACCTGAATGCTTTTCTTCTTCTTTTATTATCTGTTGTTTTCCATTGAACATTCCATGTACCATCAGAAGAATTAAAATAAATTCCTGGTGCCCTTAATTCTTGTGCTGCTGCTGCTTGCTGCTCTCTTGCTTCTGCTGCTGCTGCTGCTGCTGCTGCTAATGCTGCTGCATCTCCTGTACCTACTGCTGCTTCTTGTTGTTGACGACGACGTGCTGCTTTTAATGGACGACGAGGGCTGCTGCTGCTGCTGCTGCTGCCATCAGGGAGAACCTTCTGCTGCAGCTCACGCTTATTTCCTCCTCCTCCTGCTCCTGCTGCTGCTCCTGTTGCTCCTGCTGCTCCTGCTGCTGTTCCTCCTCCTTGTACTCCTGCTGCATTTGGTGTTGCTGCTCCTCCTGCTGTTGGGGTTCCTGTTGGTCCTACGGATGCGGGAGTTGTTGTTGTTGTTGCTGCTGCTGTTGTTGTTGCTGCTGGTGTTGCTGTTGCTGCTGCTGCATTTGGTGCTGCTGCTGCTGCTGCTGCTGTCTGGGGAGAAACACCTGATGCAAAACGCAATACTGCTGCTGCTTGCTTCTGCTGCTGCTGCCGTTGCTGCTGTTGCTGCTGTCCATCAGATCCACTTGCTGCTGCTGCTGCCTGCTGCTGCAACAGCTGCGCGTGTTGGTGTTGCTGCTGTTGAAGGACTAATTGCTTCTGCTGCAGCTGTGCCTGCTGCTGCTGTTGCTGCTGGTGCTGTTGCTGCAGCGCGAGCTGCTGCTGCACTAGCTGCTGCTGCAGGTCTGCTGCTCCGAGTCTTTGATGGTGGTGGGGTTGGTGTTCAAGGAGTTGCTGCTGCTGCTGCTGCGACAGCAGGTGCTGCAGCAGCAACTGCTGCTGCGGGTCTAAAGCTTGCTGCTGCTGCTGAGACAGCAGGTGCTGCAGCAGCAGCTGCTGCTGCGGATCAGGAGCAGCACTCTGCATCATGAATACTTGCTGCTCATCTATATAAGAAGAATATCCGCAAAAAGCAGGAGATGCATACAGGGTTGCATGCTGCTGCTGCTGCTGCTGCTGTTGCTGCTGCTGCTGCTGCTCTGCTGACTGGGGAGGAGTACGCGACGCAGCAGTGTGTGCTGAGGCATGTGCTTCCCGTTGGTTCTGCTGCTGGTCGTGCTGCTGCTGCTGCTGCTGATGCTGATGGTGGTCGTGCTGCTGCTGCTGCTGCTGATCCTGCTGCTGCTGCTGCTGCTGACCGTCCTCAAGAACTCCTGCAGACCCAACAGCCCCACCACACCTTTCTGGTGCCTCCTCTTCCTGCTGCTGCAGCAGCAGCTGCTGCTGCGGCGGTTGCTGCTGCTGCTGTTCTTGCTGCTGCTGCTGCTGCACAGCAGCTAGTGTGTCCCGTGAACCACCATCTGCTTTATCCTCTTCGTGATGCGGCTGCTGCTGCAGTTGCTGCTGCAGCTGTTGCTGTTGCTTCAGCTGCAGCTGCTGCTGCAGTTGCTGCTGCAGCTGTTGGTGCAGTTGCTGTTGCAGCTGCTGTTGCAACTGTTGCTGCAACTGGTGCTGCAGTTGCTGCTGCAGCTGCTGCTGCCTTTGCTCTAAATGCTGCTGCTGCTGCAGCGACCGTGGAGACGTAACGGGCCACTGGGCCTGTGAACGGTTAGGAGCTTGCTGCTGCTGCTGCTGCTGCTGCTTCTGCTGTTTATCCTCAATGATAGAAGCCTTTTCCTGCTGCTGCTGCTGCAAGTATCCGTTCGCCGGCTGCTGTGGCTGCTCCTGGCCGTGCTGCTGCTGCTGCTGCTGCTTGTCTTGCTGCGTAAGAAGACCCTGCGGCTGTGCTGCTGCTTCAGCACTGCGGTGCTGCAGCAGCAGCAGCTGCTGCTGCTGTTGTTGCTGCTGCTGCTCCGTTTGCTCATTGTTGCAGCGTATGCCCGGCGGACAGCGGCCGCTAGGGTCCTCTGCTGCTGCAGCATCAACTAGCTGCGCTTGGTGCAGCAGCTGCTGCTGCAGGAGAATCTGCTGCTGCGGCTGCTGCAGCGTGTCAGGGGGAAGAGGAGGCTCGTGCTGCTGCTGCTGCAGTTCATCAGCAGCAGCAGCAGCATCAGCAGCAGCAGCATCCGCATAGGCGTTAGGCGCCACAGGCACCTCATCGAACAAGAAAGCTTGCTGCTGCTGCTGCTGCTTCTGCTGTTGCTGCTGCTTCAGCTGCTGCGCTAGCAGCTGCTGCTGCTTCTGCTGCTTCAGCTGCTGCTGCTGCTGCGCCAGTTGCTGCTGCTGCTTACGCAGCAAAGCTGTCTCCTCCTTAGAAGGCTCAATAAGAGGCACAGCCTCTGGTACTTGCTGCTGCAGCTGCTGCTGTAGGTGTTGCTGCAGCTGTTGCTGCAGCAGTAGCTGCTGCCGTCTCCTCTCCTGCAGCAGCAGCGGCAGCGCGCATGGCTTTAATCCTCCCCCCCAAACCGGCTGCTGCTGCTGCTGCTGCTGCTGCTGCTGCTGCTGGTTGTAATGGTGGCTGAGGGTACTTGTGCTGCTGCTGCTGCTGCTGTTTCTAGGCGATCTACCGCCCCCAAGTCTATCATCTGCAGCAGCAGCAGCAGCAGCAGCAGGAAGAGGCCCCCCCCCTATATTCATACCTGCGCATAGACGCAAGGATTGATGTGCCCATAGAGCTGAGGTGTACGTACACCTGAGCTCGAGCATCCGCTGCAGCTGATACTGTGCTGCTGTAGTAGCAGCAGAGAGCTCTGCTGCTGCAGTAGTATCAGCAGAAGCAGCAGCAACAGCAGCAGCAGCAGTTCCTGCTGCATCTGGCTGCTTCTTAACAAGACGCAGCAGCCGCTGCAGCGGATTGTGCTGCAGCGAGGGGGGGCTGCTGCTGGTACAAGAAGTAGATGCTTCTCTAATAACAGCAGCAAATGCTGTTCCTGCTGCTGCTGCTGCTGCTGCTGTTGGTGATGATCCAGCAGCAGCAGCAGCAGCAGCAGAGTCCTCACTATCACATGGCGGTTGCCACGGTATACGTACAACCTCCGTATCCTTCGTGCTGCTGCTGCTGCTGCTGCTGCTGTTGCGGGTTGCTGCCTTCGTGCCTGCCGCACGACTACGAGCAGCAGCAGTTGTTGTTGTTGCTGCTGCTGCAGGTGGTGGTGCAGCAGCAGCAGCAGCAGCAGCAGCTACTGCCTCTGGTGAGGGATCGAAGCCTGCAGTGTATATGTTGTTAGGCAGCAACGTTGATGCAGCAGCAGGATCTGCTGCTGCTGCTGCTGCATCTGCAAAGCTACCCCATTCTTCGTCATCAGCAGCAGCAGCATCTGCTGCTGCTGCTGCTGCAGGGGAAGACTCAGCAGCAAAACGGGTTGATGGCACTGGCTGTCTTGAGGAACGACGAAGGCGAGTGCTGCTGCTGCTGCTGCTGCTGCAGCAATCGCTGCCAGTATCCTCCCGGCTCATCACCCGCTGCTGCTGCTGCTGCTGCTCCTGTGCGCGCCTTGCTGCGGTTGGAGATTCACTGTCTGCAGCAGCAGCAGCGGGAAGCTGGCTGCTGCTAGGATTAAGCCACTGTCTGTCCTGCTGCTGCTGCTGCTGCTGTTGCTGCTGCTGCTCATGTGCAGCAGATGCTGCTGATACCTCTTCCGTAGACGTAGGTGCCCACGGGTCCATGCTGTCGAGCTGCTGCTGCTGCTGCTGCTGCTGCAGTTGCCGCTGCTGCTGCTGTCGCTGCTGCTGCTGCTGGCGTGGCTGCTGGCGACGCTTCTCAACTCGCTTGCGCGGCCTCTGCTGCTGTGGTTTGCTGCTGCTGCTGTTGCTGCTGCTGATAGGCTCCTGGGTTGCTGCACTTGCTGCTACTGCTGCTGCTGCTGCTGCTGCCTCAGGTAAGGGCTGATAGCCAGGAGCTACGGGCTGGAAGGCAAAGTGCTGCTGCTCCTGCTGCTGTTGCTGCAGCTGCTGCTGTTGCTGCAGTTGTTCCTGCAGCTGTTGCTGTTGTTGCAGCTGCTGCAGGAGCTGTTGCTGCTGTTGCAGTTGCTGTTGCTGCAGTTGCTGCTGCTGCAGCTGCTGTTGTTGCAGGTGCTGTTGCTGCAGCTGCTGCTGTTGCAGCTGTTGCTGCTGCAGTTGCTGTTGCTGCAGCTGCTGCTGCTTCTGCAGCTGTTGGAACTGCTGCGCTTGCACATGGTGTCCTATGCCATGTTGCTGTTGCTGCTGCTGCTGCTGTTGCTGCTGCATCCACAACATTTGCTGCTGCAGCAGTAGCAGCTGCTGCTGCTGCTGATCCATAAAGCCGCCATCTACTGCAGCACCTTGAGGGACAGTTGCTGTTGCAAGCTGCTGACCTTGCTGCAGGAAGGGCTGCTGCTGCAGCAGCACCTGCTGCTGCAGCAGCTGCTGCTGCTGTTGCTGCTGCAGCGGCTGTAGAGGGGCCTGCTGCTGCAGCGCAGGCAATTGGTGTAGCAGGGCTTCCTCAGGGTGCTGCGAGTTCTGCTGCATCAGCAGCAGCAGTTGCTGCTGCTGATGCTGTTCCTGCATGCTGCTGCTGTTGCTGCTGTCGTTGTTGCTGTTGCTGCTGCTGTTGCTGCTGCTGCTGCTGCTGTGTGCCAATAGGCTGCAGCAGCATCTGTGAGCATCCCGCCTTACACGAGGCCACAGCTGCTTCTCTCCTGTGTATGCGGCATCGTTGCTGCTGCTGTTGCTGTTGCTGTTGCTGCAGTTGCTGCAGCTGTTGCAGCAGCAACGTAAGTTCGTGTGCTGCTGTAGCTGCTGCTGCTGCTGTTGCTGCTGCGGGCTCCCCCTCAGGCCCACCGCACTAAGGATGTCTACACTGCAGCGGGGGCCACGGCGTGTGTCTGTGGGAAACCGTGCAGCAGCAGCAGCGTCAACAGCAGCAGCAGCACCTGAACATCTGTTTACTTGCTGCTGCTGCTGCAGCAAGGCAAATCGGGCAGCAGCTGCTGCAGCAACACTCACGGGATCAGAGCGCTAAGGGTTTGTTGTTTCAGCTAACAACGGCAATTAGCTGCTGCTGCTGCTGCTGTTGCTGCGGCCGCCGCAACTGCAGCAGCAGCAGCAACAGCCCCGCGTAGTGTACGTAGACGTACGATTTGGCTGCGGCAGCGCCTTCAGCTGCAGCAACAGCAGCAACAGCAGCAGCAGCAAAGAAGAAAAGGAAAGAAAATATAATATTATTTATCTAAAAGTTTTTATTTATATATTTATATTTAGCTGCTGCAGCAATAACAACTAACACCTTACGCTCCCTCCCTGCTGCTGCGGCTGCAGCTGCAGCAGCAACACCTGCTGCTGCTGCTGCAGTAGCTGCAGCCGAGGCCCCGCCAAGTGTGGGGCCCGGAGCAACAGCAGCAGCAGCAGCTTCTTCTTTGTCTTTTACCCTTTAATTGCCTCCTTTATATTCAGCAGCAGCAAACTATTGCTGTTGCAGCAGCAGCAGCAGCAAACCCTCCCTAAGGTGCAGAGACACCGCAGTCGATCCTTCTATAGCTTCGCCGCACGAGACCGGCAGCAGCAGCAACAACAGCAGCAACAGCAGCAACAGCAGCAGCAACAGCAGCAAGAAGAGCAACAACAGCAGCAGCAACAGAAGCAGCACCAACGACTCTCCTGTGTAGCAGCAGCAACACATCATCACTGTCAGCTCAACAGCGTCGTCGTCGGGCGCTCCTTCTCCCTCAAAACCCTAAACCCTAAACCCTAAACCCTAAACCCTAAAATGGAGGAGGGTAAGAAGATGACGGAGAGCGAAATGCTCGCAGAGAAACTTCTCCAAGGATGGACAATGTTAGGAGAGAACTGCCCTTACGTAAGCATAAACCCTAAACCCTAAACCCTTAATGGTAAACCCTAAACCCTAGCAGCAAACCCTAGATCTGCCTGCAAGGGATTCTTACGAGATGTAGGGTTGGCTGTCTGCTGCCGCAGCAGCAGCTGGTGGGCAGTGTGTCTGTGCACTTCATGCTGCTGCAACAGCAGCAGGAAGAACAGCAGCAGCAACAGCAGCAGCAGCAGCAGCAGCAGCAGGAAGTGTACGTACACTTGAAGTATATGTGGGGTGTTAGGGTGTATGTACAGTGCAATAGGGTCCCTCTAATGAGACAAAGAGATGGAGGAGATTGGTGCGTCTCCTGCAGCAGATTTGCGCCTATGAGCCCGGAGAAGCAGCAGCAGCAGCAGAAGCAGCAGCAGCAGCAGCAGCAGCAGCAGCAGCAGCAGCACAAGAAGACGGACCGCAGGGAGTTGCTGCAGCACAGCCGATCTATTATATACCGCCGTATTCAAAAGTAAGCCTATATACCTACCTACCTAGCTAGCTAGCCAACTGGCTAGCTAGCTAGCTGGCTGGCTAGCTAGCTGGCTGGCTGGCTAGCTAGCTAGCTAGGTAGCTAGCTAGGCAGCTGTATGGGACCAGCTACGTAGCTAGCTAGCTGGAGATGTGGCTAGCTAGATACACACAACTAGCTAGCTACCTAGCTAGGTAGCTAGCTAGCTAGCTAGCTAGCTAGGTAGCTAGCTAGGTAGCCAGATAGCTAGCTAGCTAGCTAGGTAGCCAGATAGCTAGCTAGCTAGCTAGCTATGTGTGTGTGTTGATGGTGTATGTGTTTGTATGATCAGGTACAACGGGATACTACAGGCAGATACAGAGTCTCTTGATAGGTATGCTGCTGCTGCTGTTGCTGCTGCTGCTGTTGCTGCTGTTGCTGCTGTTGCTGCTGCTGCTCGCGTTGCTGTTTTTAGCCTGAAGTGTAAACCCTAGACAACCTCGCGTTGGTTTCTGTGGGAGAATTTAGGGTTTAGGGTTTAGGGTTTAGGGTTTATTGTTACAGAGGTCTATTGAGGGCTGCTGTTGTTGTTGTTGCTGCTGCTGCTGCTGCTGCTGCTGCTGCTGCTGCTGCTGCTGCAGGGATCGGGAGGTTCTTGTGGCGTTGAGGAATGCTCTTGAAACCCTTAAGTTGCTAGACACCATAACAGAATAGATGCAGCAGCAGCAGTAGCAGCAGCAGCAGTAGTAGCAGCAGCAGCAACAGCAGCAGCAGTAGTAGCAGCAGCAGCAACAGCAGCAACAGCAACAGCAACGAGAGCAACAACAGCAACAGCTGCATCTGCCGCAGCAGGAGCAGCAAGCTGCTGCTGCTGAACAGGTTTAGTGCTGCTGCAGTTACCGTAGGTCAGTTGCTGTAGCTGCGTTAAGCAGCAGCAGCAACAACAACAAAAACAGCAAAAGCAGCAGCAGCAGCTGCTGCTGCAGCTGCTGCAGCTGCAGCAGGAAAATGCCTGCTTTTTGTTGTATTAATGAAGCATACTTAGTTAATTCTTTTCTTCTCTTGCCTAATATAAATAAATAAATAAATTAATTAATTAATTAATTATTTAATTAATTAATTAAATAATAATAAAGACTTAATAGGTTTGCATGCAGCAAACATGCAGTAGAAATTTTATATACAAAAAAACTGCTGCTGCTGCTGCTGCAGACAGCTGTACCTGCTGCTGCTCTTGCTGCTGCTGCAGTTACTGCTGTTGCTGCACTTTCTTTTGCTGCACTTGCTGCTGCAGTGCAGCGTGCTGCAGCTACTCCAATTGCTGCTGCTGCTGCTGAAGCATCTGTCTGTCCAGCAGCATCAGCAGCAGCAGCAGCAGCAGCAGCTGCTGCTGCTGCTGCTGCTGCTGCACCGGAGCACCGCATTGCATTTTTAAATCCTAAACTGCTGCATTTGCTGCTGCATTTGCTGCTGCATTTGCTGCTGCATTTGTTGCTGCTGCTGCCAATTAGTAGGCTAAGCGTATACGAGTGTAAATAGAATAGTAGTAGCAGCAGCAGCAGCAGCAGATGCAGCAGCAGGTGCAGCAGGAAAAGGAGCAGCAGAATTAATATTATGATTAGATGGATTACACATAGATACAACATTTTGTGCAGATAAATCTACTTGGTTACGACAAGATACATAAGATACCTGAATATACATATACACATTTATTTATTTTATTTATTTATTTATTTATTTTATCTATTTATTTATTTATTATTTTAGTGTATTTTGTTTATATACTTACCTTATATAT